GCTGCCTGCTGCCTGCTGCCTGCTGCCTGCTGCCTGCTGCCTGCTGCTTGCTACCTTCTGCCTTTGTATTCCAGATAAAGTAATGAACCCTGGTGGTTGAAGGGCTGTCATTAGTCAAACAGAATTGGACACTTTTTCTGAGATTCACCATGATATGTCTTCAGTTCCTCCACTAAACATCGGGCCTCCTCCTTCATCCTCTCCTCCACACTCCGCTTTCCCATCCCAAATTCTCTCATGGTTGCCAGAGAAAATTGACGAAGGGTCTTCCAGCGTTCCCCATTGGCCAAGACTAAACCTAAGAAGGAAGGTGGGTAGGTTACATTTGCAGATGAGGGAATCCCCAGGCATTCCCCAAAGCCTTGCCATCACATCCTGTACTCCACCCTGTCTAATATCTCACCATAGTCCTGCACAATTGGCTGAACTGCAGCAATTGTCCCCCGGCCAGAAAAAGCCTCAGCATGGTCCACCAGAGCCTCCCTTATTGTCTTTGTCCCACACAACACAACCACAGGCCTCGGTCCCAAGTGCACTGTGAACACATTTCCATGTTTTTCTTGAAGCTGCCAAGCATAAGATTAACAGGATTTTGATTAGCCAGCACAAAAGTTCTTGTTAAACTGTGAAAAAACACTTAGTAACAGATTGGTAAATAACCACCTCCTCCCCTGGCCACATTTCCCCTTCTGAGGACCTAAGAGTTGAAGGATTATTGCATCACTGAGTCTGTATTGATTGATAAGATGTCCTAATCAGTGCACCAGAACTGTAGATTAGGGGAGCAAAGGCAACTCATGCTTATAATCCTGACACTGGGGAAGCAGAGGCCATAAAATCAGTAATCATTCTTGGCAACATATCTTGGAGGTCAGTCTGGCTACCTAAGGCCCTATCTCAAAATATATAGATATATATAGATATGGAGGTGGACACACACGCGTACATATATATTGTACCCATATCTATGGCCTTTGATCTGGTCAGATGTCCCTGGCGTCCCATCCTTCCTGTGACCCAGTTTCAACCTGATCAATGCTTCTGACAATACGTAGGCAAAACAAAACTTACCCTTTCACTGGGCTACTTGGGCAGGGAAATGGATGATCTCTGTGGGTGGTCCTGACTGTCAATCATGTCTACAATATAGACCCTGGGATACCTGGCAGTACAAATATGTCTGGACATCTACAGGGAATCTGTCCAGGAATATCAAAATCTTCTGTGGCTGAAATCACTTGAATAAAATGGTGCATATATGCAAATAACTCACCTTCATCCTCTTGGGACCTTTATCACAGTTTAGATTTCCATGCAGCTAATAGAAATTAGATGCTATGAAAATCATCAATATCTCATGTTGTTTAGGAAATATTTCTGTGGGGAAAAACTATACACATATTAGATGTATTTATGGTTTTAGGTGGGTCACTCCATCGATTCTTATGCAACAAGGTACTAACAATTACAGCTCAGATCAATGATATGAATGAAACTTGCTGACTCTATGTTAACACAGAGCCAGGTTTGTTTGCATTTAGTGCATCTCTGTGATTTTCAAACACAGGTACAGTTACTGCAATGGTTGGAATGCTGAGAACATAGTGACTACAAGGGAGTGAGAGAGAAATTTGTCTTGATGATAACTGATCTACACCTGGATGACAAGCTTGTTTTCATTTTGAAAATTCACTGAGCTGTGCTTCTTTTAGGTGATGACCTCCTACAAGAATGTCTTTGCTCAAAATTATAGGTGGAGTTTTGGAGATGGCTCACTGGCTAGGGGTACTGCTGGTATTGCAAAAACAATTGAAATTAGTCTGCCTCCCTTGTCACATATTAAGTGACTTCTTGTAATGCCAAGTTCATGGGATTTTAGGTTCTCTTTTGGCTTCTTCAGAAACCAGGAGTGCATTTGTGCACTTATACATGAGCATACATGCTTACACACATAATTATGATGAGATATGAGAGAAGGGTAGAGAGGGAGTGATAACAGATAAATGAATAGACAAATACATAGATGATATAGAAATTAAAATATTTGACAGATGCAGATACATACATACATACATAAATAGAAAGATAAATGACAGATGAATGGATGGATGGATAACTACATAGATAAAAGAAAAATAGAGAGATAATTAGATGATAGATATATAATTGACACATAGGCAGAGAAGTAATACATTATTGATGATAGATGATATATAATAGATGATTGACAGATAAACAGATAAATACATATATACATACATAAAACAAATTATTTTTAAATATTATAGTTGGTGATCAGCTGTTAAGAGCACTTGCTTCACAGTCAGGATGACTAAAGTTTAGATCCCAGCACTTATGTAACAAGCCAGGGGATTAATTTGTGCCTCTGACCCCTCATATAATATTGGAGGGTGAATATAGATGATTTCTGGGACTTGCTGACTTCCTGATCCAGATTTATGGACATACCCTGCTTCCAAACACTAGGCAGAGTGACAGAAGAGGGCACATAGTGCCCTCTCTGGACTCTGTCTCATGCATAGGTGTGTGCACCCAATTTGAAATATATTCACACATATATTCATATATACAAATACACATACATATGTAATACCCATAAATGAACAGGTTTTAAAAATAATAGTTAAGGTTACTTTAAAAGGGCATACACCTTCTTCTGCAAGCCCCCAGCTGTTTTCCCTACTTCTAACATCTGTAAGAACAGTTTCACCACGACCCAAGTAAGAACATTCAGTCAAACCCATATTACTTAGTACTGCTGACCTTCACCAAACTCTGTGGTGCGTGCATGTTTACAAAACTGAGATCAAAGATCACCAGGGTCTGCACAGCACTACCTGACCTGGCCTGACCTCGTCTGTTCTCCTGATGCTTCATTCCTCACATGTCCCTCATTTGTACAAGCCCCATGTTGCTCCCAGATCCTATTATTCATGGTAGTCAGCAACCTTGCCACTTAACATCCTGAAAATCTTGTCTGGACCAGCTGCCCTTATTTTATTGCCTGGTTCAGGTGCTATGCTTTCAGTATGGTGTCCTCCATGGGTTGCATGTGCTAAAGACTTGGTCCTCAAAGTGGTGGTGTTGAGAGATGTCCCAACTGTCAAATACTGGAGCCTATTAAGAGGCATTAGTTCCCCAAGGCAGATTCACAGAATAGCTTAATAAGAGTCAAGCAGAGAAAGCTGTATTCTTGGAGAATTTATTATTATAAATGAATGTCTTCCAACACGGTGTGCTGCAGGGCATGCAGGACCATGCTACCATACAGGCCTAAGAACTTGTAAGGTTGAGTGAGCTCAAATCCCAGAAATCTCAGAGATCTGAGAAAATCAGGAGTAGAGCTGCTTCCTACTTGTCTCTGTACCTGCTGTGTAACATGTAACCAGGACACACAACTGAGGGGTCTCAGGTACTCAGTCCCATAGTATAAAACCTGGAACTCTTCTCCATGCTAATGAGGGATCTAGATAGCCTCAAGACCAGTCAATGACCTTCCCTTCCTGGGTATTCTCATGTCCTTCCCCCAAAGAAATACATAAACTCCTGTTTCATCCCAATAAATAAAGCTGCTCACACACCACAACCAATAAACAATATGAACAAGCAAAGATCATCTCAGACAGCTACTTCATTAAAGATTGCCTAAAAGAGCCATGCCTAAGACTACTGAAGAAGGACTTTCTCTTTGCCCAGCCCTCAGTTACTCAGCAATCATTCTTAATTGGTCTAGACACTGTTCAACCAATTCTAAGATTCTCCTTTCCTTCTTCGCATGCAGCTGGACCAAGATTAAACAGACCACGGACCATTGTTCTGGATTTCCTCTCCAGGCAGTACACTGGTGGCACCTGAATACCTAGAGAGGAGACCAGGAACCACAGTATTTGTACCAGGGCCCACTTTTCCCCTTTTGGTCTGGTGTATAGAAGTGTCCTACAGCGAAAAGAGAAACTGACAGTGGACTCCCTGTTCCATCCTTTGCTATGCTTCATCTGGTCCAACATGCTAGCTGCATTTGGACATCTTAACAGAGGTACAACAGCCTCATCTGCATGTGACAGATTTTCATTTTCTCTTATATGTTGTGACATATTAGAGAGATCCTCACAGAATTGGGGGGAAATGTACTGTTTGAACTTAGAATGTCAAATTCTCTACAGAGAAAAGATGCAACAGTCATGACAGAGCATCATCAGCTCTCACTGTGAGTCTATGGGAAGTTAGACTACTTGGAGAGGGTTCAACTTTCTTCAGTGGTGAAGCCACTCATAAGTTGCTCATGTTCCAATAAATATTACCCACATCCATACTGGTTCATACATCCATAATTGCTTCCAAGTAGGAAGGGGCTTCATAGGAAAATGTAGACATGAGAATGAGAAAGGAAGGAATTAGACTTTCAAGGAATATTTTAAAAATAACAAATTAAATAGGTTGTCAATTTGACATATCCAACAAGTTTAAGAACATTATTAAAAACACTTATGGCCTCACCTGAAGACCACTCCTGGGTGTATACCCAAAGTTGCTTCAACATTTAATAAGAACATATGCTCCACTATGTTCATAGCAGCTTTATTTATAATAGCCAGAACTTGGAAAAAACCCAGATGTCCCTCAACAAAATAATGGATGCAGAAAATGTGGTACATATACACAATGGAAAACTACATAGAGATTAAAAACATTCACTTTTTGAAATTCACAGACAAATTGAGAGGACTAGAAAATATCATCTTGAGTGAGGTAACCCAGACACAATAGAACTCAGATGGTATGTACTCACTAATAAGTGGATGCTAATGCAAAAACTCACAATCTGTATGATACAACCTACAGACCATATGGAGCATAGAAGGAAGGAAGATCAGGGGGTGGATGCTTCAGTCCTGCACTGAGGGGGAAACAGGAAGATTGTGGGAGATGGAAGGAGAGGGGGTCAAGTGAGGGAGAAAGGAGGAGGAGGAGGAGGAGGAGGAGGAGGAGGAGGAGGAGGAAATTAGGGTGATAGTATTAGAATCTGTAGGAGACTTTAGAGAGGTACAGAGGGTCAGGAATTAAAATAAAAATAGGTAGCAGTGGTGATGAGGAACTGGAAATAGCCACTGGTATGTCCCATACACCAGAAAAACAGGAGGCTCCCAGCACTCAATGGGATTGACTTTAGATGTAAAGCACAGAGAAGAAGGGGATAGAACCTGTGGAGATCACCTACAGTAAATAGGCATGGCCCCTTGATGAAGATGAAGCCAGGTACCCATCTCAAAGTTTTTTTTTTTTTTAACTTAGAAATGTTTCTTTCCAAAAGAACAGGGAAAAAGTGGAACAGAGACTGAAAATAAGGGCCAAAATGGGAACGCCCACACCTGAAGATATACCATGTCTGCAGAAAAAAAAAAAACCCAACACTGTTGCCATGGTCAAGAGGTGCTTGTGGACAGGAACCAAGTGTGGCAGTTCATGGGGGTCTGGTCAGCAACCGACCAATGCAGAGACCAATGCTTGGTGCCAACCATTAGACTGAACTCAGTGAACCTGGTGGGAGAGCTGGCAGAAGGACTAGAGGAGTGGAGAGGGATTGCAGTCCCATTGGAAGAACAAAACAGGCTTGCCTGACCACTCAGTTCTCACAAAGACTAGGTTTCCAACCAAAAAATGTACTTATAGGGATCTTTGTCTCCAGATACATATGTAGCAGAAGATGGCCTTGCCCAAAGGCAATGACAGGGGAGGTCCTTGGTCCTGGGGGGGGTTTGAGGCCCCATAGTAGTGGGGCAGAAGAATGTGGGTGGGTAGGGGTGCACTCTCATACAGGAAAATGTGGGGAGAGGGCAGATGTGGGATTAAATGGTGGCAAAGGTGTAACCAGGATATCATGCAATTGGGGATTTGTGAAGGGGGTCACCGGGCAGTGGGATATCATGGGATGGGGGAGTTGGTAGTGTTGTCATCTCGAAGTGGGATATCATTTGAGATGTAAACGAATGCATGATTAATAAACTTAAAAAAAACACTTATGGCCAGATGTACCACACATACTGTCATTCTAGCACATGACATATGTGGATCATTAGCCTGAATATAGGGTGACATTGTCCCAAATCTATTACAAAAAGTGTTTACAGCATGGATACAGGTGGATCATCTAATTCAAACCAAGGAGTAGCAGGAAGTTGAGATTGTTGCCGTTTGTGTTTGGGCAGGACACAGCCTGCAGAGGTAGGTTGTGTGGTCCTCTGAACTCCAATATCTAGCTCTGGGCTTGCTCTTCAGTCCGGAGAAACCATGGGAGACCACAAGAGAGTCCCACTTCCCTATGGCAGAGAGGGCTGTTCTCTCTCTCTCTCTCTCTCTTAAATATAGTACTTAAGTTGTAGTTAGGGCAATAAGACAATTAAGATCAAGGGGATATGAATTGGAAAAGATATCAAAGTATGGTACCCCAAAAACTCTAAAAGAGAACTCATACAGTTGCTAAACACCTTCAGCAAAGTGGCTGCATACAAATGTAACTCAATAACTCAAAGAAAAGAATAGTCATGCTTCATTTGAGTGATTAATAGGATGAGTAAGAAGGTAAGGAGACAATACCCTTCACAGTACCCACAAATAATATAGAATACCTTGGAGTAACTCTGACCAAGCAGAAGAAAGACCTGTATGACAAGAACTTCAAGTCTTTGAAGAAAGAAATTGAGAAAGATATCAGAAGATAAGCTGTAGGATAAACATAGGGGAAATGGCTATCTTACTAAAAGCAGTCTACTGATTTAATGCAATTCCCATCAAAATCCCAACACAATTCTATTCAGATCTTGAAAGAACAATTCTCAATTTCATATGGAAAAACAAAAAGCCCAGGATAGTTAAAACAATCCTGAACAGTAAAAGAACATCTGGAGGTATATCTGTCCCTAATTTCAAGATATACTGCAGAGCAGTAGTAGTGCAAACTGCACGATATTTGTATAGAAACAGACAAGTTGATCAAGGGGAGGGAGTCTAAGACCGAGAAATACACCCACATACATACAGACATTTGACTTTTCACAAAGAAGACAAAATTATACATTGGAAAAGGAGGAATGTCTTCAACAAATGGTGCTGGTGTAACTGGATGTTTACATGTAGAATAATGAAGATAGACCCGTAGTTGTCAACCTGCACAAAATTCAAGTCCAAATGATCAAAGTTCTCAAAACCAGATACACTAAATTTAATAAAACAGAAAGTGAGGAATATCCCTGAGGTCATCAGTACTGGAGACAACTTCCTGTAAAAACACCAATGGCTCAAGCACTAAAGTCAACAATTAATATATGAGATCACTCAAAACTGAACAGATTCTATAAGTCAAAGGACACCATCATTAGATCAAAATAACAGCCTATAGATTGGGAAAAGATCTTAAACAACCCCATATCTGAGGGAGGACTAATATCCAAATTATAAAATCAACTCCAGAAGTTAGGCACCAACAAACAAAATAGCTTAATTAAAATACAGGGTACAGAACTAAACAGAGAATTCTCAACAAAGGAATCTTGAATGGATGAGAAGTACCTAACGAAATGTTCAAAATCCATAGTCATTCGGGAAATCCAAATCAAAACAAAACTGATATCCCACTTTACACACATCAGAATGGAAAGATGAAAAAGCAAAGACAGGGCAAATGCTGGCAAGGTTGAGGAGCAAGGTGAACACTCTTCCACTTCTGGTGGGAGCACAATTTTCAACCACTCTGGAAAACAATTTGGCTCTTTCTCAGAAAATTGGGGATAGTTCTAATTCAAGACACAGCTATACCACTCTTGGACATATACACAAAAGATGCTCCACCACCCCAAAATGATACTTGCTCAATGATGTTCATAGCAGCTTTATTCACAATATCCAGAAGTAGAAAACAACTCAGATGTCCCTCAAGTAAAGAGTGGATAAAGAAAATATGCTTTATTTACACAAAGGAATACTATTCAGCTATTGAAAACAAGGACATCATGAATTTCTCAGGTAGTTCACAGGAAGACCAACACAATCAACTAAACTGGAACCTTAGGAGCTCACAGTGACTGAATCACCAACTAAAGAGTAAGCATTGGCTAGACTCAGGCCCCCTGACACATACATAGCAAATGAGCAGTTCTGTCCGGAACAACAATAGAGGAGGATCTCCCTGAATCTGTTGCCTGTGTGTAGATCCTGTTCCCCTCATTGAGCTGCCTTGTCTGCCCTTATATGGAAATGATATGCCTTTTGGTGCAGGGACATGATGTGTAAGGGGTGGCTACAGGAGTGTGGTGTTACAGAGAGTGGGATCCCTTCTTTTAAAGAAAAAGGGAAGGGAAGAATGGAGCAGGATCTATGTGAGGAGAAACTGGAAGGAGACTGGGGCTAATATCGGGTTGTAAAGTGAATAAATACAGAAATAAAAAAAGAGAAAATAACTACAAAAAGAAACCAAGTTGGGATTATTGCCACTATATCAGCTATCTTAATGGGAACTAGAGCCATGGATGTTAATTCGTTATTAAAGTGGTAATTAAACACATAGTTCAACTTGTAAAGACTTGGAAAGATGGTGCCAGAATAAATGCTTGCATAGTGCATAGTGTTTATAAATTGTTAGCCCTACCTACCTACCCACCTCACCTACTGCTCTGACACTCCTCCCCTTTTTCCTGGAACACCTTATGCTAATCTCTTTCACTAGCATAAGAATACCTTACTGTTGATGCCTCTGATATTTTTCTTTCTCTTCTGGAATGGATAAGCCCCAAGGAATGCAATTCTACACTCTTACACCTCTCCATGATTATACCTCAATACTTCTATACCTCCCAGCAAAGTACCTCACAGAATTCCAAAAAAAGAGACTCATCTGTCATCTTGAACAGAGGTCAGCATACATCAACAGTCAGCATCTCACCCTCCCATTAGCAATCCTCCCACCTGAAGCAGCAGTTCTTCCCACTGAGAGACCTCCAAAACAAAAGAAGGGGGAAGCCCAGACTAAGACTCCATATAGGTCTCACCTGAATGAACCACTTAAGGAGGCCACCTCTGTCCATCTGCAAGAGGTTCCCCAAGAGGGGTAGGGGTCGGGGTCCTGGTGGAAGATGACCATGGACCTTTGCATGGTTCCTGACCAGGAATAGAAATAAACTCAGGAGGACAGCAAGGAGGAGCAGGACACTAGCCTCCATGGTCCTGGTCTAACCAGAGTCTGTTTCGGCACACACTCCAACAGGACTTTTGATACTGAACCCACCTCTCTACTAGGTTATGCAACTCCAGCTATTCCCACCTCCTGTCTCTCATTGTCTAGGTGCGTGGGCACCATAGTTGCTGCTTGGGATGCTGGTGACCTGATCATTCACCATTTCATTCACTATTTGATAAGCCCAACCCTAGATATTGACAAGGACACCATGAAATAGATACACAGGACAAAAGGGCATTGGGAGAAATGCCTATTGACTTCTAGGAGAAGGAATACACATGTCAGCTCATTTTTATCTATTTATTTACTGAAGAATGGACCTGAGTGTGTATGCTCCCTTTGTGAAGGACATTTCTCATATGAATATGATTGTGTGCTCTTCTGTGTTCTGCTAGATGCTCGTGTGTGTGTGTGTGTGTGTGTGTGTATGTGTGCGTGTGTGTGTTTATGTGTCTGTACTAGGCTATGAAAACTGGAATTACACAGGCATGCCAACACATCTGGCACATTTAACTGCATGTTTGGAAGCCAGCTATTATTTTCTACAACAGAGTTCAAATCCACTGTGTGACTATAGTTAGCTTTCTCAATGCCTCTTTATTTCTGTATACCAATAGGGGAAGGAAATTGACCTCCCCAAAGTATGAACACTATGTCAGGCATTGCATAGCAACTACCAGGAATTCTGGGCTTGAATAATGACCCAAATTTAAAGTCAAATTACCCTGCTTTCCAGGAGCAAGTTCTTGGTCTTTGATGGCACTGTGTGAAGATCAGGATAGTTCAGGCAATGTGTCAGAAAATCACCATGTCTTTTGTTCCTTCCTCATTGGGAACCAGAGTTTAATACTAATGTTGAGGACATGTCCTGGACAAAATTGGATCTGGCATTGGGTGAATTTTGCAAGAAGGGTGCTTCCTCTTCTTTTAGGCATGATGTTTGTTTTTTTTCTTTTTTTTTTTACATTTTATTATAGTGTCTAATGTTAGGTTATTCAAATGCTAGTTTCTCTGCCCTCATGTCTTGTTCTGATGTGGACACAGCATTGTAATGTTTCTACCAAGAATCTCCTGTCTTGAGTTTGAGTAAACAGTATGTACCATTAATTCTCTTCCTTTTGAATAAATGCTGAGAGCCCAGCAGCAGGGCAGAATAGAGTCTAGTATGGGCACTGTTTTACTCCCTGGAAGGCCTACCATCTGACCCTACCTGTCCATTGGGGTTAGAGATGAAGTGGTACAGAATCAACAGCTCAGACTCCAGGAGCAGGTGAGAAAACCACAGCAAGCTCTTAAGAACTCCACCACAAGTTCATTCATTAATACTGAGGGGGCCCCATTTATACACTCCACCTGTATCCTATTGGTCTCAAGTAGGCATCTCGTCCAAGTAGCAATTACCAATTAACTGTCATTTTCTGAGTCAACAATTTTTAGGCTCTTGATCCAACTTCAATTAGGTCCTCATGCAGGAGGTGCCTCCAAGACTGCCCATCCTCCAATGTTTAGGTGTAGGCAGCTATTGTCCTTCCTCCTACCCTTTTATTTTTAGATTTTGAAAGCCTACTGGGAGCCAGGGTGCTATTGACTCGATATTTTTGACCTACCGCAGAGGATTCCCAGTATACTGAATTGTATCTCTTTTCAGTTGCCCTGTCTTCCTGGATCTTAACCATAATTGACTACTAGCCCTCAAAGAGTTATCACTCCAGAGGCATGTCACACAAGCAAGGGAAGAGGAACAGTCTACATGAGACCATCAATGAGGTGGTCTCATTGATCTCTGCCATTCAGGCCTTGATCACATCTTTAGTGCCGGTGGCAATCAGGATTTTCAAGAGCCATCAGCACCTGGAGGGCCACCTTATATATCGAGCACTGCCTGGAAATATTCTGTGCAAAACACTTAAAATAATTATTAGTATACCAATTCCTCCCATCATAGCATAAGTGAATTTCCATGAGGTATCAAGTAGTCTCTTAATATTTTCCTACCTTTTCCCAAGGATCCATCAGTCAGGGAGAGCACAGATTCCCTGGTCACATGAAGGTTGGCTAGGTTCTCCCTTAACAGGAGAGAATAAATAAGGAATTTGGCTGGGTACATTTAAGATATTGAGCCAACTGTTGTCATACTTCAATGGCATTATGTATCTGGCAAGGGGTTAGACATATTTAGTGAAACCTGGGTTCATGGGCCATTAGAGACATGACATGTCCCTAACAATGGCCAACTCTTCTGCCAGTAAGTCCATCTGTTGTGGTAAAATGTAGATATCTTGATAAAGGTGTTGATTTAGTATCCCCTGTGACCTGTAGCACCTCACCTGACTCAGAGACTAAGGCCTTGACAGTCTCCACCATTTTGGTTGTCTGGGTCAAAGCTACAAAAGCTGTGGTCACCCTGGCAATGCCTGCAATGATGGTCATAATGATGTCAGCCATAATATAAAAATCGCTCTTTCCCCAGTGTAGAGCTTGTATGTTAGTTCGGGTATTAGAGTGGCAGCATGGAAGTGAGTGGTATTTACCATAGGCACCTAAATGGGGCTGATTCCCTCATCAGGATTGCCACTAGTGAATACCTCATCTAGCATGCAGTCAGGAGAAGACAATTTTCATTAAAGCAGTTAAGGCTGTCTCTGATACTGGAGGTATTGGTGACCAGACAGAAAAAGAGAGGTCAGACACAGAATGGGGTGGTTTTCCAGCCAACCTGGCTGCCAATGGTCAAATGGGCCAAGGGGTTGTTCCAGCACACATTTTCACTGAACACTTTATATGGAAATGTGTCACATTAAAGAGATAACTACTTTTTAGGATAGTGAGAGAGTATAAATCACGACAATTAGAGAGGCCACATGAATCCCAATTACACATGATGGGATCATATCAAAATTTAATGGGATCCCTGTCAACATAGGGAGTAATATTGGAAGTATGATGGGAGGTAAACATCCACAAGCCAAGTGTCAGGTTGGAGGACAGTATTGGGTAGTCCCTGGAGAATCTTACACCAAGTACAGTCTGGCAGTGCCTATTCCCAGGGATACAAAATCCCACAAATGTGGGACTGTGAGAGATCCTTGGAAAGTAAGGATGGTGTGGACATGATATTCTTGGGAAATCCTTTAGGGATTTGTAATCTGTAAAGAGAATGTGAAGTTCCATGCCTAACATGGTGCCATAGGTTAGATTACCAAGAAAGTCCCCGATGGTTATATTGTATAGTTGCACACAAGGGTTAGTGGAGGAAACATTGGTGGTAAAGCAGAGAATTTCCTTCATTGGCCACATGCCCGATAATCACAATGTAGTAGTAACTAAGTGCATGAAGGGCAAACCGAAATTCTCGTTGGAAAAGAAAACAGTATACAGGGAAGCTAACTAACACAGACAAAAGAATTGAGGGCATGTGGACCAAAGCCCAGAGTTCATTGGCCCTCCCAGGTTAAAGAAAGATTAATAAACACTATGTGTTCATTACATCTGCTGGTTCTGGTCTTATCCTGACTCCATCATTGCCCCCTGGTCCATGGCCGGTTGAACATCACTCAAGGGCACCCATATTAGAGTGGTTGCATCCTAGTGGGAAACAAACATGATCTCACCCCCTTGTCAGAAGCAGAGATGGTGGTTGCCATTGAGAATTTATTGGGTCCCTCCATCTGATCAATGAGGGGGGAGTACCCCTCAGCAAAAATGCCCAATGTTTATGAGCAGGACTCAGCCCTTTCTCATTGAATGAGAGAAAGATGACCTGAAATAGGACTTCCAACAATACTAGGGGTTGATCCCTTTTTGGATTCCAGGGAACATTCCAAAGGAGTGACTGATCCTCCATGAGGATAGGAAGGCACCGAACTGCTGAGATAAATAGGCAGGTTCTTTGTCAGTCCTGAGTTTCCAAGGCATGCCCATCAGTATTGCTGATTTCATGGCCTTAATAGCATGAGAGGCCTTTTCAACTGCCATGGCCACAGCATATACAAAGGCCAAGCAAATATCTACCACAACATGCTATATCTGAGATTACCAAAGACTGGGTCATAGTAAACATCCATTTGCCAGATTGTATTGGGAAGCAGACCTCTAGGGTTCACTCATGATCTGCCAAGGGGCCCCAGAAGTGCAAGAGGTGTGTACATTGAACAAGAGCTTGCAAGATGTTTACATTGCAACACTGGCAATTCAGGCAGGAGCTTGTGTAAATTCTGAGGGTAAAGGTGAAATTTCTGGTGTAACATTCTGGCTTGTTACAGCAATTACATGACTGCAGCCATAATCAGGACATCAGTTCTCTCATTTCCTTCTTCTAATATGCCAGGCAATTTAGAATGTGATCTTATATGTGAAGTGAACCAGGGATGTGCCTTGTTCTCAAGAGCCTTATGGATAGATCACATGCATACATAGGGCCATTTTGCTTTTTAATATAGAAGAAGGACAGCATACAAACAGCTGGTACTGCATATTGACTGACTAAGAAAATATTGACTGGATTCTGTTGGCAACACTCAAAAAATTTCAGGACTCCAAATAATTCAGATAGTTGCACTGAGCCAGAATGAGGAAGAGGATGAGATGTGTTCTGTCCCCCTGGACTTTGATAAGAACCCTATATCTGGTTGTATTAACATCAGAAAAGGCCATAGTTGTGTTGGGAATTGGTTGAGAGTTAATTACCCTATGTTGTTTAGCTGTAATTGGCAGCTGGGAGAGAGTAGTATGATGCTTGTCTCATGACTGGTGATTATGCGATGAGCCTCTGAAAGTTAATGGAATCTGCCCATAATGATTGAATATATCCTAGGGATAATGGTAGAATTATTTTGCATGGTTCGCTGTTATAAGTTCTTTTTTCTAAGCCTCTCACCTTAAGGGTAAGGCAGAATGCAATCTTCAATTTTAAGGCAACGTTAACTAGATTACAGTAGGCCTGATGCAATCACATGAGGGGCCCATTCTGCCATAACATTCCTAGGACCGCTTCATGGAACCACAGAATTATAGCCAGGAGAGATTGCCTT